GTTGTTGGTTGGTTGTTGGTTGGTTGGTGGTTGTTGTGGTTGTTGCTGCTGTTGTTGTTGTTGTTTGAAACAAAAGAGCATTCAAAAGCAAGAGACGGTCGGGAGTCACAGATGACAGGTGCTGGTTCGACAGGAAATCACATGCTTAACCATGTTTGGGAGCATTTTCGGGCCAGCTGATGTGTGGTGATGCCAAGCAGGCGGGAGTCACAAACGACATCGCCGAACCCAATGGAAATGGATGAGCACATGGAACAACTTTCAATAAGATGACAATCATGACGCATTCACGGAACAGATTTTGATGTGACATCAAAAAAAACCTGTTTGCCACACAGATGCCTGCCCCGACAGTGAGCTGTCCACTCAAAGGCCACGTAAGTCGCCGTGGCAAGACTCGTCATTGTGTTATCAGTGCCATCAGTTTCTGAATTGTTGCTTGATTTTGTGTTTGCTTCGGGATACCGCCGCGAGAGTGAAATCGCTGTGGTTCCATCATGAATGGCAATCCGACAAATAATACACAATACTATTTCCAGGGCTCAAAGAGCGAGCAGGACCCGGCCATCCCAACGAATTACAAATTCTCAGCCCCCTGCGTCAACCCATAAAACTCCTGTTTGCAAGACTGCTTGGGTATGGGGGATCCAAAAATGGGAATTGAGCAAAATGATGAGTATTACGCGGGCCCGATACACTCGATACATTCCCAAACGAAAATACATCGATCTTGTTGTGCTTTCTGCTGGTGTCAGGTACACTAAGGTAGCGCACCCCTCCCTAAGTGTACGCCGAATTCAATTCAGAAGCCCCACCAAACCAGTAAAGGAGCTGAAGACGGAGGTGGGCACCAGCGTTGCGGCCGCTATCAGTGAGTTTGTTGGGAAGGACTCCGGTGTCATCATTTTTGCAGTACAGTAGACGCTTCCCCCTGTATGAGGTTCTCAGCTGCTCCTATCTTCTCCCAACAGATATTCTCGTGGACGAGCGTCAGCTTCCTTTTCGGCTGGTTTGCGAAAAGTCTGTCGAGACTTCGGAGGATGGCGATATATTGAATTCCCGTTGTGAGATCATGTGGGACGGGTTCCGCTCGTGGTGTAGGAGCCTTGAATGCCCAGCAGTTACCTCCTCGGTCCGTGAGGTATCTCACACTCAGCTACGTTGGCCCTTGCAGGAGGACTATAACATAGAAGACGTCGCGGCGACGGTGGAGGACAAAGTCACATCGGCCGTGGAACGGCTGCAAATGGGTTTTCTGTCGCAGTTGCCGTCTTTCGGAGGGCTTAGCCACGGACCCACGAATTCTTAGTTGTCGTTCCACTACCACGGTCACTACTTTCAGTTCGGCTTCTTGTTCGCACTGTTGCTTGGTATTACAGCATTGAGTTCGCTGAATGCTTGTGACCGTGAGAAGTGTCGCAACTGGGCTTCAGAAAAAGCTCTTTAGGGTGGTCGGGTTTGCGGTCCAAGGCTCGATGGTGTCTGGAATTACAGTTTAGAGATTTGACCCCAAGGTGCGTGTGACAGTTCTATTTTTGGCAGGTTGGACCACAAGCCAAATCTGACGACATTGCTGTCAAGTTTGACAACATTGTTGTCCACACGTCGCAGCCTTGATGGTAATGATGACGTCGGAACATGGTTCTGACATAGACGTAAACCGGAAACATGTAATTCTATCATCAATATTGGTGCGCAACATGTGTGTCTGGACTTTTGAAGGGGCCCCATCTTTGAGATTTTTCAGTTTGAAGTACCATGACCAAGCCGGACGGACTGCCAGTCCTAAGTTCAGATGGCAACCAAACTTGTCTCTAAATGCCTGTGAACGGGTTGGACATGTGGAAAAGTCCGACAAACCTCGCTTTCCCCTGAGATGGCCTGGCAGCCAAAATGCGTGTCTGATGAAGTTTGGAAGCTGCGTCACACGACCCGTTCCACGACCCAGCACAAAACAATAGGTGCGGGTTCACTTTTCTGGATTTGCAAGCCCCCCCCCGCCCCCCCCGCTACTTGTGGAAATGCTGCTTCCTGCAGATCACGCAACAACCCAGCAGGTTGGGTCTTCTGCACAATTGTCGCATATGGTACAGCGAGACGAGAGTTTCTATGGCAGTGGGATGACCGGCCTAGGGACTCCCCAGCTTCATGTGATCCCTAGTTCTTGGAGCCAAAAACCTTATGAAGCCTTCCCACGAAGCACTTCTCCAGCCTCATCAAACCAATCCCCGCCCACGACTTGTCAGGTGAAGAAGCTCGACAATGTGGATCTCACCCCCGATGCCGTCAAAGCCGGAAGGAAGCAGTCCGATCATTCTTTCCCAGGCACTTGCGAGTTGCTGCTTTTGCAGGGTATGTAAAGCCTGGCCTAGGATCCAGGGTTACATTCAAGGTTTTGCGGTTGTGTGCTTTCGGAAGGTGCCCGGAGGTTCGAAGGAACGTCCCTGTCTCTTGAGCACAGACCCGGCACTTTCCGGTTCGGTTTAAATCCATTTCGATGAGCTCTACCAACAGCCCGTTTGTTTTGAATCTGCATTTGTATTGTTCATGGTTTTTCCACCAGCCCATACTCCTGAACTCACACTCCATCAGCTCAGCCCGGGCATTCCAACACGTTAACCTCAATGCACCAGCCGAGGAAAGCGAACATATGCAGAAGGTAAGAAAACGAAGCTTTGAGTGCTTCAAGAGCAACCGTTGCGCTGGTGTTGGTTGACGGAGGGTGCCGAAAACGTCCCTTGAAGGTCGTGAAACCCGTCGCCGTCCAAATCAAGGAGGGAGCGAAGGAGGCTGCGCTGGCCTCTACTGGAGGAGCGCACGCGCGCAGCGGACAGGGTCTGGAATGGGGAAAGAAGCAGGCTCCTGATCTTGTGTTACACTTGTGCTTCACGACAACAGCCCCTTCCGAACCACTTGGCGACGCAAAAGCTGCACATAGAGCTCATTACGACAGCGTGTAGGGAGGGTGGGCTAGCCCTCCCAGACCAAGGGAGCGGCATGAGGCATGGACACTTGACGGATCTCGTCTTTCACCAGGCAGTCTACAACTCATGCGACGAGGAGTTCGATCGCAGTGGCGGCAAGAGCAGCACGTGGCTGCTCCTCGAGCATGCCCTGGCACGGCTCTACCAAGTTCGTGACGGCATGCGCGTTCCCGATTTGCTTCTTGTGGTTGTGCCATCGGATTCCACGCGCTTGCCAAGTATTTTGGAGCAATTCGTAGAGCGATTTGCATCTCGGAGTCTTCGAGAAGCTGCGACCTCCGACTGGCTCTATGTTGTGGAAAGCCCTCCCTCAGGACTGTCCTGGTCATGTGAAGGCCACAAGTTCATGTCAGTCGGCTGCCAAACGGAAGTCGTTCCCGAGGCACTCATTTTTCCAACTGAGCTGCTGCGATGTGCGCGAGCTCCGGACTTTGAGGCAGCCACGGGGCTGCGGATGGGCTCTGATCCACAGGATCCGCTGATGCTCCTCATGGCCATCTTGATGGACATGCGGGGTGTGGATATATTACATATATATATGTATGTACTGATGTAAACGAGCTTCTATACATATATTTATATTTTGGTTTTCACATCATGCTTCTATGTATGAACTCACTTGAAATTCCAGACCCCGGCCACACACCTTCAAACACATGTACTGAAAGACCCGAAAGTGTCTTGGCAACGTTCATTGTCGATCCACTCGAGCAAATGAAATTAGCTAGCGAAACAAGAAAAGACAATGTCATCGTGTTCTGGTTTTTTGTCATCCGGAAATAGCTCCGAAACGATATGGAAGGTACCGACGGCAGCGAAGGATTTTTGAGACAAGGTGCAAGGTCGGGACAAGACCAAGGATTGCCGAAGTCGAGCGTTTATTTTTCCACCGAGGTCGCGGGCGGAAGCACCGTGCTTGATGTTACATATATTTATATAGAACTTTACACAGACATGGAGTCATGCTTATTTCTGTATGTAGTTTTATACCCCGATATATATATATATCCTTTTCTATATATGTATGCATATTTAAACCTACATCTATAGCTAAGCCTATATTTGCATATTAATCGATATATATTTTCATTATACTACGAAATTACATCTCTCTGTATACATATTTATATATCTATATACCTATATATTTAACTATTTATGGACGTATCTATATCGATACATAAATATATATATATATATATTCGTATATTTTTCTTCTATATGTCTATATACGTGTACTTTTATATATTTATGTAGTGATTTGTTTAAATATTTATTTATATTTGTATATATATATATATTAATATATATATATAAATTCGTATATATTTATTATTTTTATATTTATATGTTTATATATTTATGTCTATGTATATATATATATTACAAATATATAAATATTTGCTTATATATATATGTGTATATATAGAAATATAAAGGTATGTATAGATATAGAAGAGTTTCTATATATATATATATATATTTTGGTTTTTACATTATATTTTTATATATGAATTCGTTTGAAATTCTAGACTACCCCTATTTATTTTAATATATGTGTTGAAAGAGCCGAAAGTGTTTTGGTAACAATTATTGTTTCCGATATTTTCTCGAGTAATTGAAATTAGTGAGCGAAATAAGAAAAGGTAGTATTATTATTTTCTAATTTTTTGAAATCTGAAAAAAATTCCGACACGATATGGAAGGTACGGATGGTAGTGAAGGATTTTTGAGTTAAGGTGTAAGGTCGGGATAAGACTAAGGATACCGAAGTCGAGTGTTTATTTTTGCACTGAGGTCGTGGGCGGTAGTATTATGTTTGATATTAAATATATCTATAAAAAGCAAAAAGTTTTATATAGATATGGAGTTGTATTTATTTTTGTATATTTATTTATACACTTATATATGTTTAAATTTTTATATATATATATATATATTTAAATTTATATTTATAATTAAATTTATATTTACAAATTCATTGCTATTTATTTTCATTATACTACGAAATTATATGTCTTTGTATATATATTTATATACTTATATATCTAATTACTCATGAAGATATTTATATTGATATATAAATATATGTGTCTATATATCTATATATTTCTTTAGCCATGTACTTGTGTAGTTATTTGTTTAGATATTTATTTAGACGTATAATTGTGTGTATATATATATAGTAATCTCTCCTTCCAAAAAATACGTCGAAACTCGGCACTTTTTTTCCGGAGGGGAGTGTTTTTTGGGTTGGTCTTAGGAGGGAATACTCCAAATATTCCAGATATTCCATATTCTAAATTTTTCTTGGCTAAATCTCTAGTATCCTACAAATTACAGGATTTCTGTGGCTAGGTCTCTAGAATCTCAAGAATTCTAAGACCTCCAAAGATTTTGTTAACCATGTCTAGGAATATTTTAAAATAAGGAATATATGGACTTGGTTAGTCTGATCTGAGAAATATTGGAAGGGACTTGGCCAGGAAAATCTTGGAATTCTCGTGAAATATTTATTTTGGGAAAACTGAAGATTTGGAAAATGATTTGGTAAGGCTAAAATTGAATAATTAAAATATCTGGAATATATATAATATCTACAAGTTGTTGAATTTATTACATATAATTTGTTATCTTGTTAATATACTCTCTCTAAGCCTAAGATAGCATATTCCTGTGTCCTGGGCGGAGGTCTCTTGGTAACATTGGCTACGACAGAGATGTAGTGCTGAATTGTTGGCCTTTAAAGCCTTAGGGCAAGGGTTTGGG